ACTTTCTTCTACTGGAAGCAGCTTTTTGGTCAACCTAGACGGACTCCAAGGCAGAATGCTTGGCTATGCGGTTGAGTATTTGGCCTGGGTTAGATTTTATTTAGATCAAATTGATTTGCACAGTCAGGAAGACTTCTCCATTTAATTATAGATTTTTTCCTACACTGCAATCAACTCAACAGGGCTTGTTGTCTGAAGTAAACACTATCCTTATTGTTTAAAATAACCTTAGATACATGATATCCATCTCTTAGCTGAATAAAGAAGAGAAAGCAATGCTCTCTGTCCCTTATTGTGTTTGGAGGAAGCAGCAAAAACCCTTACAGAGGAGTCCTTCAAGCCACACGGAGGAAGGCACTCCCTCCTGGTAGAAGGGGTGAATAGCACCACCCTCACACGCCAGTTGAACTGGCATCTGAGGAGCGTTCAAGCTGTGCTCCACACTTTATATGTTACTGTTTTCAACTCATTGTTACATTAACCACGTGAAATGAACATTTTTTTTTCTGCCAGAATATTTTGAGCTGCTGGTGAGGGAGAAAAGCTGTTGCCTAAGTGGAAACAATAGGAATTTATCTCGGGATCCAGAGTCTATGAGTTAGCAGCTGGGCAGTGTCCTCAACGAGCTGAACCCTTTTATTCTTCCCACTCTGCTAGCCTCAGCATGCTGATGTGCTCTCTCGGGCCAGCTCCCCTCACTATGTGGAGATGCGGCCTACAAGTCCAAAGTAGGAGCAGTTTGGAGCCCACAGGCACAGCTGAGGGGCCAGGTTCTCCTCATGAAGCTCGTGTGCTCCTTTGTGTCAGTTTCTCCCTCAGTCTACCAGAGTCCTAGAGCTCCTCATGTAGTCCAGGCTGGCCACAAACTTTTGACAATACCTGTCACTCATGCACCCCTTTTGAAAGTTGAAAAACAGCCTGTGGTTCACCTGTACACTAGGGAGATATGGGAAGGAATTTCTTAAGTATGAGGCCATAGTGAAGTCAAGGCCATCAGAAACTACAAGGAAAAAATCCTGTCTCAACAAAAAAAAAGGCTGGGGATGCGTCTCAGTCACAGAGAACTTGCCTGTATGTCCAAGACCTCAGATGTGCTCCATAGCACTGCAAAAGAAAGAAAAAGAAAGGAAAAAAAAAGTCATCTCCAGCTGTATTCCCCTCCTGACTCACACTTGACCAAGCAGAAGGAACCACTGTGATTGTCTAATTTGGGAGCTTCCTTTCAGAGGCCTTGGAGCAGCCCAACCTCTGTGAAAAACAGGGTCACCAGAACCCAGGAGAAAGGTTCACTACTATTAACAAAAAACAAAGGGGTTAGTGGCCCCCAGGTAGGCTGTGAATATATTTTGCTACTATTAGTCCCATTTTGCAAGTGAGAGTACCAAGACTTGAAGATCAAATAGCTCCCCCAAACCACACAGCCTGACCTGAGTTGTTTTCCTACATTTCACTTTGAAAGCAACACACACACACACACACACACACACACACACACACGTATCCACACATATACATATCCCTACACACATGCACCCACACATACACACACACACACACACGCACACACACACACGTATCCACACATATACATATCCCTACACACATGCACCCACACATGCACACACACACACACACACACACACACACACACACACACACACACCACACACACACACTCAGCACTCACCACTTACGCACATGTCAAAACTTGTTTTTGCTGGTGATAGTGATCTAGATAGGACAGAGAAAGAAGTCCAAGCAGAGGAAAAATAGAACGCTGAGGTAAGACAGGTAAGAACAACTCTCTGAAGAGAATCGTCCTGAAGGAAACACGGCAAGTCCTGTAAAGGCGATCGGAAAAGTACTCCCGTTAGACAATCAACCCTACATTTCTGCATATATGTATATAATCAAGTTGGTTCTCTGTGACTGATCATGCACATCAATTTGATCTAAATGAAAGCCAGCCTGGGCTGAGTAACGAGCTCAGCGGCCAAGGATTTGTCTGTCCAACTTCAGTGAGAAGGCCGTTTCCTCCCGAGGGGTACGCTGGGTTGGTTACAGCACCTGTAAGTGAGACCTGCCCAATCTGTGACATGTCTGATGGCAAGTCTCTCAGACAATCGGTTTCCAGTCTTTGGCTCCGGAGGCAAGTGTGTGTGGTTCCAGCAGTTGCCAACGCTCGTCTCTGGTGCTACTTTCTACTCAGGTGTTGCATTTCTGAGGTAATGTGTGTGGCACAGCGATAGGAAGAGGAGAGGTTTCAGTGTTGTGACGGCTTGTCGCGGAGACGTGCTGCTGTGTGTTCTCCTCATCCTAGCAGACAGGTGGTGGTGGGAGTGATCTCTCTGCAGTGGATGATGGAGTGCTTCCTACTCATCTATTTGCATTTTTAAACGGGAAAGTACAGTTAATGTCTAGTACAGTTACTGTCTAATGCCAACAGAGCCCTGTTTAAGAAGGCATTTGTCTGATCTGTGTCGAGCCATATAAGAAAAAAAAAAATGACATAGGAACAACAAGAACAAAAAAAAAAACCCCTCACTGTCGTTTTTGAGGGTTTCCATGGAGTGAATTGATCTCTTGTCTTTTTTTTTCTTTAAAACTTCATGAATATATTTATGGAACCCTGATATCCACTGGTATTATTAAACTACTTCACTAACAGTTCTATCATTATTTTTTCTCCTTTAAGCAAAAAAAAAAATGTTGATATTAAACAGCTTTAAGTTTTTTTTTCAGTACAAAAATGTAAGGCAAGGTGAGAATTTCTAGGCCAAAATATATTGGTCCGATCTATCTTTTATTGTGTCTTGAAATGATCCAAAATACAGCAGTGTGGGAAAGTTAGTATTTAGGAGTTAGGTAGTTAACGGAGATTAGTGTGGAGGCAGAGTCACTTGTGGAAGGTGCTTAGACATTCTGTGTCCCGGCTTCCTCATCTGACGGCTACAGAGTGTTTATTTGTCATGTGCCTAAACTATAGTGGTTATCGCGAAAGTGCGGTTATCCCTATAACTTATGCTGCTACAAACCTGAAGGAGAGTGCCTTTTAGTTTGACCAGGGTCTTCTTGCCACTCTCTAGTAGAAGGACTCCTTCCCATCCAGTCAGAGTTCACCACTGGAGTTTGGAGTCAACTGGGGAAGCCCATTTCCCTGGCACAGAGCACGGTCAATGCTCGGACTTAGTGAAGTGTTAATCTCAGATTTGAACTGTTTATCTAGGAGTCCACGGGCTTATCTGTAATCACGTCCAGGTTTCCTTCCAATTCATAATAGACTCACCTTACCCAAACCTGCTTTTTGGTAGGTGTGGCCAGGTGCCCGGCATTGGCCCGAGATAGGTGAGCGATATGGAACGCGTCATCGGTCGAAAGAAGATATCAGAACAATACACAAACGTGTCCCCTGGCCATGGGCGGTGGGGAAGGGGGCGGCAGTGGCTTTGATTTGAAAGTTTGGACAACACGACGGAGCTCCCCGCGCTGACCAGTAATGACCGCGGAGAGAGAACCAGGCTTTGCCGGGTCAACAGTGGCTGTGGTCAGTACAGTCTCGCCCATTCTGCCTGATAGTCACTTTGGTTTTCCCTTTAAACTGTGGGGGTGGCTATTGGCCTTAGTACATAAAACGTTTACATAATTCTGAAGACGGTGCTTTTAAATGCACATTTTGAGGCATTGGTGTATATGAATGTTACTGAGGGGTTGGGAAGATAATTAAGTTTGCATAAGTAATTTGCATTTTAATTTCTTTTTGCAATAAGGCTTATTTTCACTCCACACAGAGGAAACTCCTATATTAAAATGACCAGCATGTATTTCTTTGAGGGAGTCAATAGTAGTACCAAAGTCGTGCCTGTGGCGTGCAGCAGGTGAGGAGAGTTCTACCCTCAGGGGTGCCTTGTGAGTGTTCAGAGAGAGGGGAACAGCCAGGCCAGCCCATGGGCCTCTGTCTGGAATGAGTCTCCTTAAGCCCTGTTGTTATGTTCCAGCTGCACACAATGATGCATAGTTCATACACGGCCTTAAATGGTGTTTATTAAATAAATAGAAGTTATTTTCATTTCTTCCAGTGTCTGGATTCTTTCATGTTTTGAATTTTAAAAATAAATTATTTAACTTGGGACACCCATTTTAAAATACCTTGATATTAAGATTTCTAATTATTCTTCTGTAACAGTTTGTGCTCCCAAATTTAGGTTATTTTGTTTGGTATTTCTTTCTTTCTTTTTTTTTTTCCGGAACTGAGGACCGAACCCAGGGCCTTGCACTTACTAGGCAAGCACTCTACCACTGAGCTAAATCCCCAACCCCTTATTTCTTATTAAATATTGTATTTCACCTGCTTATTTCACTAGAGTCTTTAAAACTACTTCATGGAATTACTTAAATTATTTAAATTAGGAAGAGATTATCTTCCATACATAATTTCATTGTAAACCTGAAGTAAATAGATTTATCTTGGAACATTGAGAGAATTGATTTGTTTCTTTCTTTCTACTCCTGATTTCTTCTCTTTCTTTCTTTCTTTCTTTCTTTCTTTCTTTCTTTCTTTCTTTCTTTCTTTCTTTCTCTCTCTCTCTCTCTCTCTCCCTCCCTCCCTCCCTCCCTCCCTCCCTCCCTCCCTCCCTCTCTCTCTCTCTTTCTTTCTTTCTTTCTTTCTTTCTTTCTTTCTTTCTTTTTCATCTTCAAGAAGGGCCTGTTTGATTTTATGGATCCCTCCTCATAGCAACAGATAGGCTAATAAGAGCCCCCAAAAATGTAACGAAACTTTAAATGGATTTTATAAACCAGCCAGAAACCTGTGTCTGGGGCTTCTGGGGGAACAACCCGAGAGTCATTTTAGCAAACACACTCCTAATCTCATAGTGCATGCGGTTACCATGGTAATTAGGCCTGTGGAGCTGCCTTGCTTATGTTCCTGCAGAGGGAAGACGGGAGAAAAACTGTGAACTCTGAGCTTTGACTGTCGGCTTCGGCCTGCCTACTGTGGGAGAGTTTAGGGTTTCCCTTGAACACGCTGGCAGTCATTCTGGAGGGAAGTGGAGAGACTCTGGACTCCCCACTCTTCTTGTTGTTCCTGAAGACAAACTAGCCGCCATTATTAGTGTTGGGGATTGCAGTTCACAGGGGAGAGAAGGACCGATCGGCACTCTCTGGAGAAGAAGAGCACAAATGGTTTCTTTAGCTAATAGATAATTACAGGTAAGTCTCTAAGGTCAACCTGCTGAAATGCTTTGAGTGTCTGTGCACAGGGCCCTAATGATCTCCTAAAAGGTGCTGAATGCCTCTGGCATATTATTATTGCAGAATGTAATGATCATCCATGAGCTACCCAGGTAGACGCTGTTTTTACTTTTTTGAGCTGATTTGTATGTGGACCTGCTATCTTTATTTATAGACTGGATTTGACTCCTTTATATTGGGCAACCATCTTATAATGCAGGCCCATGGCTCTCCAAGGAGACCTCCAAACTTACAGGAGTTCTGCTGAATCATTCATTGCTCCTAAGCAAACCAAAATCAGAGCCCACGATTGATGGACATCCAAGAGGTCCTGGGGCTCCGTGAGAGGAATTTTGTGGAGGTCACTCCTCTTGGTTCTACTGAAGAACAAGCAGAGTCATGAGCCAAAGACATGAGGGCACATGTAGAACTTGAAACTCACTTTCCTAAGGCTGGGCATCCGCTCACATTATGATTATTATGTATAGGCTGAAATTTTATTCTTTAGAGCATACCTCTTGGAAGCAGATTTTTACCTGGAGTTAGATTAAGATTTCCTTATTCCAAAGGCTTGAAATAAAGTGAAATGTGTATGATTGGTTCTCTCTACAACATCATTGGCTCTAAACTCCATATTTATTTTTATCCTCATAAGTAGAAATAACTATTACCCCAACTTTATTTTAGATTTGATCGTCTTAACATTAGTAAATAAAGTTTAACTTGAGCCCCTAAGATAGCTGGAGGGGTGAAAGCACCTGCTGCCAAACCTGATGGCCTGGATTGGACCCCGAGCTGGTTAGAGGATCTGCTCCTACATACTATCCTCTGACTTTCCAGCATGTACCGTGGTGTGCGTGTCCATATTCACACATGTGCACACACACTGGAAAAACATGCAAAGTAAATACATTTTAAAAGCATAATAATATATTTTACTGATCATCAAAGTAATTCATGGAGAGCATTAAAAATTAAATTAAAAATGGAAGTAATAACATTGCAAATTATGAATAACGAAAGTAAGAATAGCCCCGTTTGTTAAGATTGTGGTTAGTTGAACTAACTGCATGTAGTGGGGACCTGATTTTACAGTGTCTGGAAGAAGTTAGAAAGTGCTTATTTCTTTTTAACACAACAACCCAGAGGTAAATGACCAAGCTATGCTCAAGATCACACAGGGAACCCGGCTCTTCTGCCAGGTTGCTCCATGATTCTTTTGTTCTTGTGGTCTTAGATGGCTTGTTACAAGAACCCGGAAGGAAGGGAGAAGGAGAAAGCATGGACCCACAGCTACATATACTACCTTTACAGTTCTCCCATCGAACTCTGTCACATGGCTGCACACTTCCAGCAAGGGAGGCTGGGAAAATTAGCCCCTCTTAACATGTATGGGCACGTAGTTCTTTCTCAAAAGTATCTTCTTCTTATGTACTCACCTTCTTGAGGTGATGTGAAGTAATAAAATGCCTGCAGGACAAAATAAAGTACATTAAATAATAAAGATGTTGTCACATAGCATTAGGCCACTATTTAAAGAATGCTTGAAGCCGGCGGTGGTGGCGCACGCCTTTAATCCTAGTACTTGGGAGGCAGAGGCAGGTGGATCTCTGTAAGTTCGAGGCCAGCTTGGTCTACAGAGCTAGTCCAGGACAGGCTCCAAAGCTACAGAGAAACTCTGTCTCAAAAAACAAAACAAAACAAAAAGAATGCTTGACTGCAATACCTCGCGATGAGATGTCTAATAAGTGACTCTAGTTAATGATGAAGAGGCAGGCAGCATATACAGTGTGGATACGTTGGGCAAAGGGATGATTAGTGCTCTGGGCAGGACCAAGGGAAGCCAAGTGGCATAATTTAAAGCTTATGAATTATTCACTCCTAGAATTTTCCATTTTTCATGTATGAATATTTTCAGACTGCAAGTAACTAAAACCCAGAAGAGCACATTTCAAATGGGACTGTGGGATGCACAAAGTTATATGTTAGGGAACTAGCTGGCATTACACTGTAGATAGCGTTTTTTTGCTTTGGTGTCTCTGCGCCATATCAGGTGCAATTTTCCTCATCATTTAAATTTCTTGCATCTGGGCTGGGGATGAAGTGCACGGATAGAGAGCTTGCCTAAAACGCAGTCACTACCCTCCCCAACCAAAAAAAAAATCTTGTCTTTATTGTTGATTCACCATGCAGAGTTCCCGTTGCCTAGGAAGTTGTATTGTTGATACTTGGGGTTATTTCTAACACCTTGGTAATCATTTTTGTCTACAGCTGTTGTTCGAATCAAGGAGCGGACTCACTAGCATGATGACTGTGAACACGTCTAAGTCCCTTGATGAATAGTAGCAAGCTGCTTTCCAGAGACGTGTGCCAGTTTGCGCCATCAGCAGTAATATATGAGCCCGCACCTCAGAGCACCCTTGTGCAGGCTTATTTTCTGAGTCCCACTTAGTCATTATTATCCCCAGGGTTCAATCTCTGAAAATAGGTTGTTTTTTTGCCCTTGGCTTGTTTTCTTTTCCTTTGCTGTCATTAATCACAAGATAATGATTTTCTTTTTTAATAACTTTGGCTCATTTAAAACCCTGTGACCTCTTCTAGCACTCCGAGAACACAGCTGATTGGGCTGAGACATGCGTGCCGGCCTCACACAGCGTGAGACCTCTGGAGACACCGATCCCATTTAGTTAGTCCTAAGACCCCTTATGAACTTGACTCCCACCCCTGCCATGCTCCTCTTGGTGTAAGATACCTTTTTGTTCTGAGTCAGAGATGAAGTAGGAGTGGGAAGGTGCTCCCAGAGGCTTCGGGGTGGGTGCTCCTTCTGTGGGAAGCACAGACACTAGGCATAATTAGGCCGACTCGGTTGGAATTCACAGGGGCATTAGCAAAGAGTGCAGGTGCCTTTAGACCTCAAAACAACCTAGGAAAGACTACATGCTAAAGAGACCTTCGCAACCACCAACTCACTTCCATCAGCCCTCTTAAAGGGCCACATACATACCCACAGACTGAGCACTCCAGCTCCCTTAACACCTAGGGCAAAAGGAAGTAGTCTTTGCTTTGATCTTGGTGGGAACCAATCCACCTAGCCCAAGAGCAGAGTTTAGAACTACCCATCCCAGGGTACACAGCTTCTGCTACCAAGAACTCTGCCTCCCTGCCATGGTGTTCTCATGGTGGTTTTTGGTGGTGGTGGTGGTGGTGGTGAGGTATGTGTGCATATGTGTGTGTATGTTTGGGAGGATAGTGAATTTCACAAAGCAAAAGATTCCTATTTCACTTGCTACATACATTTCTTTAAAGAGAAAGTTCATAAAATATAGGTTCTGACATGGAAACCCAGGATTCTCCGCCCTTACCACTAGCCACAGCGCCCTTAACCTGGCCACAGAAATGTCCATTTGCTCGCTTGGCTGTTATGAATTTTGCTATTTCTCATTTTCTTAAAGTATGTTTTCTTTTGCTTTCTACACAGTCAGATCTGCCAGTGAGCCTCCGGCCTTGAAAACTGACAAGGTAAGAATTCTGAAATATTTTTCTAGGCTCATTATGAACCTAACTAGAACTTCAGAAGGGACCATGAAAATATCAGTAATCTTATAGACCAGGACCTTTAAGTATGTGATGTTTTTGTAGAAATCAACCATTTATGGTCTTTAACAATGCTGTTGTGGCTCTGGTATTCAAAGACAACATGGCTCTCTTTAGTGATAGTTAAAAGTGGAGTTTTACCCAGATTTCCCCTTATCTTCTAAAAAAAAAAAAATGTCTGAGCTGGAGAACGTTTGAAGTTGTCACCTTAATAACGAGATCCCTGTGGTACCAAAAGTGATTAAGGGATTTCAGACATTAACATAATCTGTGCAAGACAGAGCCTCAGGGTGATTGGCTTGGGAAGGTTAGCCTTGACTTGATGGATTGGTTATAGGCGTTGAACAAGCTTTTCCCTTAGCAGTAACCGGAACAGCAAAAGGTCAGCTGAGTGCTGGTGGGCTTCTTCTGAAAGACCCTTAATTAACTTTGGAGATGAGTTAAAGCCGTTCAAAACTGTTAGCCTGAGACAGGTACTGTAGTTTGTCTGTCCCAGACCAGAAGTGAAGTTTCCATTCAGCAGAGGCTCAGAATTTTCTTTCCATTTTAAAGTTCAACTTCATTATGAAAACTTTTCAGCAGATATCAAAGCAGAGATAACTATTATAGAAAAATTCCCATGACCTCATCACCTGGTGTCAACGGTTGCAGATTCACAGCCGCAGTGTCTTTTATACTTTCTTCTCTGTCTCCCCTTCCTTTCTCCATTGGGTTGAATGGTGTGGCCACTAGCATTTGGTGGTTGGACTTGCAGTCATTTATTTACATATGTGTTTAATGGCTTCAGCAAAACGTTGGTTAAAACAGAAAGCCTCGGTGCCTGGCTTAATTGGTTCCCAGAACTCGTCATTCATTTGTTTCTTCACACAGCAAATGTATACTTAGCATTTCCCAAACCCTAGACCTTCATTTGGATAAGAGGTCAGTTGTTTGGGGTTTTTTGTTGTTTGTTTGTTTGTTTGTTTGTTTTTGGATTTTCAAGACAGGGTTTCTCTGTGTAGTTTTGGTGCTTGTCCTGGATTTCGCTCTGTAAACCAGGCTGACCTCGAACTCACAGAGATCCACCTGCCTCTGCCTCTGCCTCCCAAATGCTGGGACTAAAGGTGTGCACCACCGCCCTCCGGCTTGTTGTTTTTGTTTAAACTCACAATAATGAGGTCCTCAATTTGAACTTTTGAGATTATCAAATGAAGTTATCCCTCAGAGACACACTGACAGAAAGAAAAGACGACCTTCGTCTACAACTTTAACAGTCAAATGTAAACATTTGACATATATCACAATTCTAGAAACCCGGCAGGGGGTTATTTCTTAACTTATTAATATAGTGGGATTGCAAAGACCACACACAAAACAAAACTTCTCCCCACTCTCTGATCAATCTTTTTGTTTTATCATGCATGTTCCTCCAGCAATCTATTCAAGACAAAGCTCTGTGAGAGCAGGTGTGGTTTCTAACCCAACAATTCTACCTCCAGCATGTAGACAGCACGTCTGGCATTTGTTAGATATGTAATAAAAGTGTTGAATGAATGAACAAAAGAATGGATGCCAGATGCAGGAGCACGAAGATGAAAACCACACAGGCCACAGTATTGCCAGTTGCATGGGGGAGTACTGTGGGATGAGGGGCCCCATGGATGAGGTGTGAGCCAAAAGTCACCAGCAGGTGGAGGAGGGGGCTGGCCTGGTGGCCCTGAGGAGAAAAGCTTTGAGTAGTGGTGAGATGCCCTCAGTCAGAAAGGGAGAGAAAACTCAATCCAGACGTAAAGAATCCCGTGACGGAATACTCACAGATGCCTAAGGACGCGGTGTGTTCTGAAAGCCTTCAGAGATGTAGAGTGGCCAGAGTGGAGCTGGCTGAAGCGGTGGGGCTTGAGTAGCAGGCCAACTAAGTGCGGAGGGACTCTGCGATCTTCTGGGTGGGCAGGCAGAAAGAATATGCGATGAGAAATTAACTTGGAAAAGATGGTTCTACAGGCGGCAGGGAAATGGAAGGAGGGCTGCCGGGAAGACAGGGGTGGAAAAAGATCCCTGTGGGTTGAAGACGTGGGATCCCGGGGAGCTGATGGAGCTGATGGTGGAGGTGGGAAGGGGAGCAAGTCCCTAGGAGAACTTCAAAGCCTCTCCCTGGGGAGATGAGCTGGGGAGTGGTCACCAGGCTCCAAACGCAAGAAGCGAGACTAGACTCCAGATCCCAAGAGTGGCTTCATCCGTGTGGGCATGCCTGTGGGCTGCTTACTGCCGGGCAGAGCAGCATTGTTCTGAGTTGGGCTTGTCTGTCAGCACCTGCAGAGAGAGAAACACGGAGACACATGGCTACACAGAAGCCACCCAGATCAGTTGAATCAGAAGCCCGGGGAAAGACCTGGATATCTGTGGTTTCTCAAAGCCCTGCAGATGCTTTACCGGCGCAGCCAGGTTGAGAGCTTATTTGAAGATAGCTGTGTGTGTGTGTGTGTGTGTGTGTGTGTGTGTGTGTGTGCAAGACCACACAGAACCTCTGCTGCCCCGTAATCAAGTTCTTTAGGTTTGAGTACCTCATACCTTTTGGGAGAGGACTGGGTCATCCCAAATATTCCTTCAAATATTAGTAATAGCTAGGAATGTTTTATACATCTTCTGATGTTCTTCGTATGTTGTGTGGGTTTCATGTTAAAAAGTAAGCTGAAAAATTTCAGATCGACCCAAGCAGAGTTGACCAATGGAGGCTGTTCATGTGTACAGTGGGACAGTTCTTCATTGTACTCTCAGTACTTGTAGCTCATTAAGGGCAGTGGCATCCTTTAGTCATTGTGGCCTCTGGAATGTTCTAGGGACACACTGAGAACTACTGTGCCTTTGCACACAACTTTAAAGGAGTTATTTGGCATTTGCTGCTCTCCCCTGAAAGAACTTTTCCTTCAGACAAAATTACTGGTCTCAGTGGTCCCTTACCTAAGTTAATAAACTAAAGAAAGAAACTAAACAAGGTAGACATACAAAAGATGGTGTTGTTTTGTACTCTCACGGGGATTTTGAGTAGATTTGGTTTAGTACTGTCTGTTTTTTAAAGTCTGAACAGAGAAGCAAATTAGACACTAGGTAAGAAGTGGTCAGATATGGTTGGAAGCCAAGTCCAGCTAAGGCATCAGGCAAATGGTACACTACTGATGAGAGATTGTTTGTTTTCCTTTGCTACTTTAACAAGTTATGATAAGTTTAACATCTTAAAAGCATACATATGCATATTCCAGTGCTGTGGAATAGGGTCTATAGGATCTCACTTGGGCTAAAAGCCACATATTAAGAGGCTCAAGGCTCCTCATCTTTATAGCTTCCAATTCCATTTTCAAAGCCTGTGACATTGCGCATCTGTGTGACTTTGTGCTGTAGGCACGTTACCCCCAGCCTGGTTACATCTAGATGAACGGGGATAATCTATCTCATCATAAGATCCTTAATTTAACTGTATCTTCAGAGTCCTTTTATTCAGGTCAGGTTACACATTCACAGGCTCCAGGGGATTGAGACATGGACATATTTGGAGGCTGTTATTCTGCCTACCACAGAGGAAAGAGAGGAATTGCTCAGAACGGTAGGACCGCTTCAGGTTGGGATCTTGTCAAACTTCATTTTACCAGATGGAGGGGTTTTAGTGCTCCTGAGTGAATGAAGCAAGTTCTTGTCTTAGCTCTACAGTTTCTATTCGGTGGGTCTGGGCACTGGGAGACTTTTGCTTTTCTTAGAGAATGTGGCAATGAAGCAGGCAGACAGGTTGAAGTCCAGTGCTTCCCTTTTCTTGGCTAGACTGCAGTACTGTGGGTGTGGGCTTTGGAGAGGTTGCTGCTTTTGGTATTTCTCCAGCTCTGAGTGCTTGTCTACTGGTCATAGGTTCCAAGGACTTTGAATAGCACCAAAGAGTGTGAAGGTTTTCTTGTAGGCTGCTGTGTCTGCCTGCCACATCATGCGTTATTTATTAGACTCCAAAACGTAGAGATTGGGGAGGGAATGGTATAAAATTCAGCATCCCTATGTAGCATGGCTATTACAGCTAGTATCCAGGTGTGTCTCAGTTGCCTCCACAGTAGGTAGGTTATCCCTGCAAGGAAGAAACCATGTCTTGTCTTGGGGATAAAATGGATTATTGAGTTATGTTTTTAATAATTTATTTGAATTTATTTTATGTGCATTGGTATGAAGGTGTCAGATCCCCTGGAACTGGAGTTACAGACAGTTGTGGGCTGCCATGTGGGTGCTGGGAATTGAACCCAGGTCCTCTGGAAGAGTAACCAGTGCTCTTAACCACTAAGCCGTCTGTCCAGCCCCTATCAGGTTATTTTTTAAAGGGTTTTTTTTTTTTTTTTTTTTTTTTTTTTTTTTTTTTTTTTTTGGTTTTTTGAGACAGGGTTTCTCTGTGTAGCTTTGCGCCTTTCCTGGATCTCGCTCTGTAGACCAGGCTGGTCTCGAACTCACAAAGATTCACCTGGCTCTGCCTCCCAAGTGCTGGGATTAAAGGCGTGTGCCACCACTGCCGGGCTTAAAGGGATATCTTGAAAGGAACGTGAGAGTTTGAAGATTTTGGTGAGATTTTAAGCTCTTCAGATGTTTTTGTAGCAGGTCTCCCTTCTATCAACTTTAGATACTCCAGTACCCCAAGTCTGAAGTCTAAACCTAGGGCTCTCAGTAGAGCATCAAAATGTCCCGATTTTCCCAAGAGTGGGAGACACTGTCTTTCTTTTTTTCCCCTCAAGATACAGGACTTTCAGAACTAGAACTTGGAGAGTCCTTAGCATATCAGGATAGTGGGTCATTTTAAAGGGCTCCAGTGGACATTGGTGTCATACTGATGAATTTTTAGAATAGAGGCTTTAGTTTAACTGGTTAATGAAAACAGCCTCTGGGGTTTGGATTGAAAGTGGTGGAGGATCTATCCTGTTTGGAAA